GGCAAAAGCACACACATCCTTTACTCAAGTAGAAGTACAGATACTCGTGTTTAAAAATACTCTGGTAAAAGTAGAAGTACTGACTAAACTTCTTTACTCAAGTAAAAGTAAAGAAGTTTGGGCTTCGAAATGTACTTAACCCTTGTGTTGAGTTCAAAGCTGTTACCGTTCATGGTGTTCATGGCGTCAATTTTGACCCATGATTTATCTCCAAAACACACACAAAAAATTCTATCATCCAATATTGTTTTAACTACATCATAACTAACTTATTATGCATTCATAACCGCACAATCCTGTTGTAATTTAATTGTATGGCCCAAAACACATACACATGCTGTGTGAGTTCAGGTTCAAGTGTTAGTGTACATATTCTTTGAGAAAGGTTGAGTTCCCGTGGGGGGAGGGGGGCAGAGGAATGGGAGACCAGGTGCACGTTGGGAAAAATTATGATTAGTTATTATATCATTTTAACTTGAAATGGGTCACAGGAGACCCAAACACAACATAAGGGTTAAATACCACATTGATTGTCAGCAGCTGGTCAAATGGTAACTTAAGAGGCAATTTAGCTTTGAGTGGTCTGATTAATTAGGCTTCCAGTTAACACACCAGTCATACAGTTGTTTTAATAAAAAATCAACTCCTGGAGTTTGCTCTGGGTGTTATTCACCACTGTTCTTGTGAAATGATGGGAGTAACAGGAAAACCAGCTCTAACAGGGAAATATTTTCTTTTTAAATAAGTGCTATGCAGTGGATTTAATTTATGCCAATGTGAAGAGTGGTTCATAGGGATTAAGAAAGCTATGTGTGCATTGGAAAAGTGACTGATACCTATTTAATTAAACTTTTAAGTGTTGTAATTGAGAACAGACTGTCTTCCAGGCAATAGCCGTCAACTCAAAACAATTTACAGTCCTCTGATTCTAAAGCCACTTAACATCAGCATAAGTCAACATCGTCTAAAACTCACTTAAAGGCCCAGACACACCAAACTGACACCAAAGAACACATCCCGACAGACCCAATTGTTGTGTCGCCTCACGTCTCCTGGGTCTTGGCCATGTTTCGCACTGGAACACACCGCAAAGACTTCAGCCGACGGCCAAGTAGCATGTACGCACTGCGCTTGCGTGTGGCAATAACTCTCCTTACCAGCAGGCGGCGGTAGTGTGTATTCATCATTCAAAAGAGGCAACTACCGCCGCCTGCTGGTAAGGAGAGTTATTGCCACACGCAAGCGCAGTGCGTACATGCTACTTGGCCGTCGNCCATCACAGCCTGTCCTCCTTTTCCCCTACATTTCACTAATTTGTGAAAGTACGTTTGGCCCTGTTTGCGTATTCCGGACCATACAAATTGAACAGACTTTGGAGCATTAGACGTTACACTCACTGTGGCTGGTAGCGAAAAAACAAACTCCGAATCATTATGACTGGGACACAAACGGACTTTTCACTCCAGACTTTTAGAACAAAGTCTTTGTATGTTCGACCAAAATGGGTAGAATAAAAGCGCCCAGAGAATTGACAAGCATCCCAGTAAGGTTGTGTTGATAACAGTGTCTACACAGTTTCGGCATGAAAATTGTGGATCGAGAAGTCTCATTTACATTAAAACACCCCATAGCAGTTCTTACTGTGGGAGGATAATCAAGTTCCTGGGAAAAGGGTAACAAACCAAAAAAACGACCAAAATGGTCCAACAATGTAAGAAACCCCGCATTATGGACAGAATCAACAGAAGACTACTTAAGCATAGCCCACGACAGGCCGCCCCGTGGTATAATGGCTCATATCGAACAATTCACAGCTAAGGGGGCGTTGGTTTCCGGCCCGACGCGAAGGCCAGTTTTTGGCCTTTTTCAGCCCAACGGTATTACTGTTTTTTCTCAGACGCGGGGGAGTACTGATTTGTTGTGAACGTAAACTTACCTATTTTCGGGACCGCCTCCGTACGATTCCACTCGCTCCCAGCAAAACTCCCAAAAACAAAACGATTATTCTGGATTCTTTACTCGTTGGCAGCAAAAAAAGCCAATAACTAGAAAATGTCTCTCAAGCGTAATATCCCCTTTCCTCTCGACAACTGGTACGACAGAATTCCTGAAATCTATGTTAATGGAAGAATTCACCGTTCTCCAATGAGCTTCAGGAAAACACATTTGAGTAGAAATATGAAAAAGTTGGAGAGGTTTACATACTCTCACTTGTTTGGACCTGTTTCTATCAACCACGATTGAATCGTATTCTGTATCCGATATGTAATCGTATGGGTCGAACATGTATGTGTATTTGATGTATATATTATGTTGATATGTATGCATGTTACATTGTTTTGAACCATTTGCTATTTCAAACCAACCCTGGTGTACTTTTTTCCGTTTTTTTTTTACTTTTGATTTATTTTTATTTTGCTATTTCAATTTGTCACCTTTCGGCGTGTCTCTAAAGTATAATTGATTTTGAAAAAACTTGTTACTTGTTGTACGTCCATAATGTGACCCCCAAATAATAACAGAAATATAAAAAGAGAAAAGAAAAGTAACTTACCATTGCTACCGTGGTATACGGTCAGTTTATCACGGGCTAAGAACCAATCAAGCATTTGGTTGTTGGTTCTTTAGCGTGACTATACTTGAGTCGTATACCCCCAAGCGGGATAAGAATTTGAATGTTAGTTTGTCTTTTTTGTTTTTTTATTCTTCTATTTATTTGGGGTCACATTATAGTCCAAGTTACAGTGTTTTCAAATCATAATATTTTTGAGGACCGGAAAGTGACAAATGAAATAGCAAATAAAATTAATCCAAAGTAAAATATAAACCGGAAAAGTACACAGGGTTGTTTGAAATAGCAACATGTCGTACACAATCGTACACTGCATACATATCAAACATTACACTACTAATACATTCAAGTAACACATACCATGTGAACCATACAATACATATCGCGTAACATCTATACATTCAATCAACGGTGTTTAGGAACAAAGTCAAACAAAGGGATATGTAAATTCTCCAACTTTTTTCCACTATTTCATTTCAAATGGTGGTTTTCCTGAAGCGTCATTGAGGATGGTGATGTCTTTCCCATAACATAGATTTTCCATGGATTCTGGTCGTACCAGTTGTCGAGAGAAGGATTATAAACTCAAATACCTTTTCTATTATTGCTTTTTTTGCTGCAACAGTAAGAATTCCAAATAATTGTTTTGTTTTGGAGTTTGTGGGGATTGAATGTACGAGCCCAAATAGTAAGTTACTTTTCACAACAACTCAGTATCCCTCCGCGTCTGAGAAAAACAGTATACCGTTGGGCTGAAAAGCAAACTGCCTTCGCGTCGGGCCGAACCACGCCCCTTAGCTGTGATATGAGCATATACCACGGCCTGTCGTGAGCTATTGCTTAAGTAGTCGTTCTGTGATTTGTCCATAATGCGGTTCCTTACATTTGTCGGCGGATTTTGGTCAGTTTTTTGGTTTTGTTAACCCTTTCCAGAATCTTATTATCTCTCCAGTAAGAACTGCTTTGGTGTTTTTATGTAAATGAGACTTCTCGATCCACAATTTCATGCCAGAAACTGTGCTAAGAAACTGTATCAACACACCTACTGGATGGCTGTCAATTCTCTGGCGCTTTTATTCACACATTTGGGTCGAACATCACAAAAGACTTGTTCTAAAAGCTGGAGGTGAAAAGTCCGTTTTGTGTCCAGTCATAATGATTTGGACGTTTGCTTTTTTCGCATACAGCCATAGTGGGTAACGTCTAGATGTCAAAGTCTGTCAATTGTATGTCCGAATAACGGCAAACACGTCCAAAATGTACTTTACAAATTAGTGAAATGTGGGAATAGGAGACAGGCTGTTGATGTTGCACTGCATCGCTCAAGCTTTTGTTAAAATAACCTTGAGTCACATGTGTATCAGCCGCTTCAAAATCACTTCTCTCCTCGCGTAATCAGATTCTCTAGGACGTAACAGAATGACAGTTTGTTGGGTTATTTTGTGAAAGTGGGGCTAAATGACTCTTTAAATGTCGTCTGCAGCCTTGGCTTTATTCATCAGCTCTTTGGTTTTCCCACATTGCAGCTGTTATCCGGTTTGTTATTTTCTGTAATGTATTACCCATTGTATTCTCACAGGTGGCGATTACGCTTCTTTCTGCCCTAAGTACTACCCAACGGAGAGTTTTTTCAACATCTGGCATGAGAATAATTGATGTGTACAGCACAATACAGTGATGGTATTAATTAAAACTGTCCAAGGTCTAATTACACCATCTCCCACAGTGCATACTAATGATCCAATGCTGGCTTTCCTCCTTTCTTCAGAGATTGTGTGAGGATTGTTATGTAATTCTTAAATGCAGCACGATTTCTGATTCTTGTGTTCTTGTGTTTCTCTTTGGAAGCAATCGTTGTGTTGTTTGTTGCGTTGAGGCGTCAGAAGAAGGAGCCATTGATAGTGTTCGAGGAGGAGGACATCAGGGAGAATATCATCACGTACGATGATGAAGGAGGCGGTGAGGAAGACACGGAGGCTTTCGACATCGCTACACTGCAGGTATCTCAAAAAGTACCTATACTTTGTTCATATCCAGCTTTAGCATTTGTCGATATTTGAATACTTTGTACCTCATTAGCCAGCACCATTTGTCTTCAGCTCTTTCTCATTGACTAACTTAAGGTTGATTAACAGGTGGAAATGATATGAGATAAGGTAAGAGTTACGTTATTGATCCTAATTTGGGAAATGTTTGCTTTGCAGCAGCATAAAAAACAACAAAACAAGTAGAAATTAAAGAGTAGAAATAAACAATACAAGAATTTAAACATCTCAAAGTAGAATTAAAGCAGCATTAAAAAGAAGAATAAATAAACAGTAGGCCTTGAAGATACATTTGGCTCACCATTTGACTCTCAAAGTATAAAAAAGCACTTGGAAATAAATAAAAGGACAAAACTAATTATTTATTTTTCTCCACCGCATTCGGTCTTTCAGGGCGAATACACAAATTATTGTGTTTACGATATATTAAAATCTGCTCAAAGATTGAAGGTCAACGCTTTGAGAAACTCTATAAATCAGCATTACACCATAATAACATTGTCTCTGACCTAAACCATGTCCTGAACAGCAAAGATTCAGGGTCCCAGGATTCAAAATGGTGACACTGAAGAACTCCTTTACACATCAGTTAATCCTAAAGTTATATACGGAGTTTAACCCAAGCTCGATTATCCATTAAAGGGTCTTGAACTTCCTTTTCCTTAGTGGCTTCAATGTTATCTTAAAGCTCTGTTTCCTTGTTTCTTGTTGATGTTGCAAACGTAATTGCTGTGATGAACGAAAAGATTTCAGACTGGTGCTTTCTTTGTACTCACCCAGAACCCGAGGTGGGAAGTAGTGAAGTACAAATACTTTGTTACTGTACTTAAGTACATCTTTCTGGTATCAGTACTTTACTCCACTACTTATTTTTCTGACGACTTTTTACTTCTACTTCTCACATGTTGAACTCAAATACCTGAACTTTCTACTTCTTACATGTTGAACTCAAATACCTGTACTTTCTACTTCTTACATGTTGAACTCAAATACCTGTACTTTCTACTTCTTACATGTTGAACTCAAATACCTGTACTTTCTACTTCTCTCATTTTCCAAACAGGCTGGTTCCTTTAGTCTGAATGTGTGTTTGGTGGCGTGATCATTATTATTTAGAGTCATTGCGTGCCTATTGATTTGAACATGATCCGTGTATCCATCATTTCCTGGTCTTCTCTAAAGAAGAGGGACCAATGGAAACGTTGTCATGTTGCCGTTGTTCAGCATGGAAACATTATTTGGGTACGGAGGGAAAGAGAGAGGGTTTTATTTTCTGACGCTGGGTGAGTTCCCTGACACACCGGGGACACATGTTTATGTATAACAGACATCAAAAAGTGCATTTTGCATGATAGGTCCCCTTTAATACTTTTGTATGCATGCTTCTTAGCTAACATTAAGCTGTCTTTGGCTCTTTTCTGCTGTAACAATGTACATTTCCCCTCTGTGGAACTAACGATTCTGATTCTGACACACACACTCAGGATGTTGTTTCTGCACTTTGTTGCAGACTTTGACCTAAAATTGCTTGTGCATAATTTTTTTTTCTTTCCATTTTTACAGGTATTCTGATTCTCACCCAGCAGAATGACGATGCAGGCCAGGATAGCGATCAGCGCACCGGTGCTCAGCCCCGCTGCGAGGACGTACGGCTCCACGTTGCAGGACAGGATGGTGCCTCTGGAGTCACAGGAGCACACTCTGATGGTCAGGGTGTTGGTGCTTCTCATGGAGGGCAGGCCGTTGTCGTTTATCTCGATGGGAAGGTAGTAAACATCCTGGGTCCCGCGGCTGAATCCTTTACGGAGAACATAGATGCTGGCTGTGCTGTCTGTGGAGAAAGACACAAATACATATATTGAAACATGAGCAATTATTGGAATATCATATGTAGGATTCAAGGCTTTTGTTTTCATTTGTACATAGCTACAGTGTAGTGTAGACACATTTTGCAGTATTCACTTTTCAAACTTGTATGATCTTTATTGTTACACTTGTCGGGCCATGCTTGTTGCATTTATTTCCTAACCTTTAAAAAGGCTTTTGGGGTTTTCCCCCTGAGTAAAACTCCTTTTGTTTCTACTTGTTACACATAGCTGCTATTGGCTAGCGCTCCAACACATTGTACGCAATAGGGGCGGGACATCTCTAAGCGGTTGACCAATCACAACAAAGCCGACCAGCTAACCAATCAGAGCAGACTGGGCTCTGGTTTCAGACAGAGGGTGAAAAGAGGTGCTGCAGAACAGGCAGTGTGAGAAAAATAAAGAGCTTTTTGAACATTAAAGCCTGGAGACATGTTACAGGAGAGACACTCAATACAAATATCTTGACCATGCTCAACTCAGCATGATTACAATTCCCACTTTTGTGTTCTTCAGTCTCTTACAGCTTATTTTTCTCGTTCTATATTATTCTTATTCTCTGTGTCTCATTTTCTTTCCGTAAGACTCTCTCCCAGCCCTCACGAAACTTAATTCAATCAGTCGGCCCCCTAAGATATATGTACAGACGGACAGAGACCCCACTGCAATTAGTACAGCCCGCACAACATGTGTGCATTCGCTGGTGTGTGAGAGAGATTCAGAGCACCTGCTGCTCTCTACAAGGAGGTGTGAGCCTCCATCTGGCTATGCTTTGATCTAATCTGAGTGGAAGAGGAGGGGGAGGGGGGGGGAGGCATAGCAGCAGATGAAGAAACAGTACAGCTAGAAAAAGGGTGGGAAACATATAGAAACGAGATGAATAGAATAAGATGTTAAAGGTCTCCTACCTCTGTTGTCCTTGACGGAGAAGTTGTGGTTGTGGGCGACTTCCGGAGCGAGCCTGAAGGTGAAGTGTTGTCTGTGAGCCATCAAGTCTTTGTCCACGGCGCTCACTGTTTCAATAACCTGACACACACACAGAAAAAAATGTCAACTACTATCCGGGCACATTTCATCTTTGATTTGCAAATATCTCACTAAAACACATCCATATGTGTGGACGGGAATACAGATCAGAAAGCAATTTGTGTCGATTACACACACACACACACACACACACACACACACACACACACACACACACACACACACACACACACACACACACACACACACACACACACACACACACACACACACACACACAGATGTACGTACCTTTCCCGGTGCAACAGTTTCACACATGTGGACTTCGTTGTTGGTGGCGAACTCTGGGGCGTTGTCATTTACATCTTTCACTTTGATGTTCACACGCACTTTGGTGTCTTGGTGATGTCCTCCTGCACACACACACACACACACACACACACACACACACACACACACACACACACACACACACACACACACACACACACACACATCATCAGTATGTTGCCTCCTATACAGAAACCTAAAGCTTATTTAAAACAGGCAGTCTGAATGTGTGTGTGATTGCCTGAGTGCCTGCTGTGTAACCTGAATCAACCCAACTCAAAAATAACCATGAATATTTTCCAGACAGATTGCCTGTCAATCACTCCGCCACTCAGCCGGCTTTTTGTTATTTCTGATTTATAGAAATTACAGGCACGATGTTGCGAGACGTCAATATATCCAGTCGGTGTGCCGCGCAGTTCGACTGCTCCCACACTTTCTTTCTACTGAGTCTGTTTTGATATGATAAAGAGACAAATGTCAAGTCAATACTGGTCTATAGTGTTTATATTAACTCTGGTTACAGTGTTTATATTAGACTGTTTGTATCTGCTACTTCTATACGGGTTTGTACTGCTTTTCAGAGTGTTTATACCTTTTAATACGGTTCAGGCTTTAGGTTTTTTCAAGTCATATTTATACACTTATATTAAATCTATACATCACATTGCACTTTACAGCTTCTTCTTGCACTTGTGGTTGTTTTCAAACTGCATTTAGTTCTCCCAGTACTCTGTGCAACGACAATGAAGTTGAATCTAATCTTATTCCATACCTACTGAAGATTAAAATGATGGGAAACATGTGTGATGCAGACCGAATGTCCAAACAGCCCAAATAGACCGTTTCCTTGATGAACCGGGGGCTCAACTCACGGAGAGAACACTTCACTGTCCGTTTCTGTAGAGAACATCCCATCCGTGCTGCCTTGCATATTTGTAATTCTCGTCACTAAGACTTTTCCACTACCCTGTCATTACCAGACACTTATTTAGCTTTCCAGGGCCTGTTAGCGGTTAGCGTAGCCTGCAATGGTCCCAGTTTTGTGGGCTGCGAGTTCTTTTCCATCTGGCCGTCTGGCGTCTATCGCGCCGCAGGGAAACCACGAGGCGCTCTGGTAGTTTGAGCCCCGACCACAGAATGGCAGGGTGGGGCGGCTGTGGCTCACAGATTCAGAGTTAGAGTGGTCGAAACCGGGGAGAAAAAGCTCCAGAGGGCCTGTGGCACGACGGGCATTTCCCCCTTTCTTCGCCCCTCAGACTTTCTGTATAGCTAGCAGAAGTTTTTGTGGTGTGGATTGGATACTAAAGAGGGTTTCTGGGGGCCTCAACTTCACTTTTTCTCATGCTGAGGGTTTGGATTCATGTTTGTGTCACTTAGCAGCAACCAACAAACGTTATGTGCTGAACCTCATTCACACAGTAATATACAGTTCAATTAAAGTGAACATATCCAGTCGCAATCCATGGTGTGTCAACATCTGTTTCTACTGTATGCTTTTAGACTTTCTTTCATTTGATCATATTTATTGTTAAAAGAAAACCGACACAAATCTATCTTAATTCTTCTTTGGCATCCAAGAAGAGCAAAAACTTTCAATGAAATGCAGAAAAACTTCACTTCACTCCAAATCACTGGCTTTTACAAACCAGGGTTAAAACGAGTTACTCTGAACAAAAATAACAGCACCAAGCTTCTCCATGAGGCCAATCCCTTCTAGCTGAATATATAATTAGTTAGCCAAGTTTCAGGCAGTTCTTCAGACATTCACAGCGAATAATGCTAACTTTAGGTCCCACCCAGAGAGTATAAATTAAAGACAGCAGCTTGAGAAGCCCGTAAATGTTGTTCATAACATGTAATGGAGTGGATCCAGAGCCGCAGAATGACAGGGTGGGATCTGAACGGCAGAAAACGAACAGTCTGGTGGCTGTCTGGGATTTTTCCATCTGTTTGTTCATCTTTGACTTTTTCTCTTCAACCGATATCAGAGTACAACGTTTCAGCGGCATAAATCTCTGACAGCCGAGAGTCAGTTCTGTCTCTTCTGTAGTAAATCAGAACTGACAGTCTCATCGCCATTGTGTCACTTCACTGTCCAGACGAGACGATAAAGAGTCACGATCCACGTACTTTTTGAACAAAAATGTGTGTTTGTTTCCTATATCTGAGAGAATTTCGGAGACGTCCACTCCGCTTACTGATATACACCTGAACATCAGCAGGAGAGGACTCTTTAAAGTAGAGACACTACATACTGATATACACCTGAACATCAGCAGGAGAGGACTCTTTAAAGTAGAGACACTACATACTGATATACACCTGAACATCAGCAGGAGAGGACTCTTTAAAGTAGAGACACTACATACTGATATACACCTGAACATCAGCAGGAGAGGACTCTTTAAAGTAGAGACACTACATACTGATATACACCTGAACATCAGCAGGAGAGGACTCTTTAAAGTAGAGACACTACATACTGATATACACCTGAACATCAGCAGGAGAGGACTCTTTAAAGTAGAGACACCACATACTGATATGAAACTGAAAATGAACATATTTGTGGCCCTTTTTAAGATATCTCTATATTTAGATCTTGTCTGTGCACACGTACCTATCTCCGTGGCGGACGCAGAGATGTTATGCCAGGCCTGAGCCTCTCTGTCCAGGGCTCTTTTCGTGGTGATCATGCCGTCTTCTGGGTTTATGCTGAAGAACTGCTCTATATCTGTGTACAGAGGGATCATGTACCTAAACGGAGAGAAAACACACATTTAACACTGTTATCACACATGAGGGACATATTGAGCTTCCAATATTATGGAGATAATTCGGTTTCAACTCAAATACAATAACATAAAGTGTGATTTCTGTATAGCATGTCTTGTTGTTTCAAAAAAAGTCTGGACTCAGTGATAGTTTTTCTGTTGATTTTCATAAAAAGTGTCTGGCTCTGCCTTTGTAATCCTATTTTGCATATTCTGTTTGAAAAACTCTTCATGTAATCTGCATAAAAATACAAGTTGTAAAGCAAAGTTTCTCTGAGTCATATTGTTTGTTCAGTGTAGCTGAAGGAACACTATTTAAAAGGGATGTTGTTTTGGCAACTTTCCAACACACAGTGGAGTGAACATTGAAATTCTCCCACTGCTACAAGCCTGACTAACTGTGTGTGTGTGTGTGTGTGTGTGTGTGTGTGTGTGTGTGTGTGTGTGTGTGTGTGACAGCATGCAAAGCTGATAATCTCCAAACCAATTAGAAATGCGAGCTATGGATTTGAGCCAGTCAAATACCCAACACTGGTTTGATTAGTCAGATATGTACTCTGTCCAAATCCTCTTCTCTAACCTCTCTCTTCATGAACGCACTCTCTCTAAACCAATTTCTCTCTCCTTCACCACCCTAACCTCTCACTTTCTGTTCTCCCTCGCCCATCTCTCTAGCCTTCCCTCTCTTCTTCTTCTCACATCCAATTTCTTTTCTCCAAACCCAAAATATTAGTCCCGGGCTCTGCAGAATGTCCTCTGGGGACCTCTTCTCACTGCAGAGCCTTCTTTTCAGCACCAATTTTTACTCTGAAAGATGTGCTGCTACACGATCCCCGAAGCAGCGATTATGTTAGATTTTTTGGTGCAGAAAAGAAACATGAATTCCATTTGGTTTTAGAGACAAACATTATCCACATGGGGGATGATGTACACAGTGTTGTGGTTCACGATCATGCACTATATCGTAATTACTGTCTTAGTGCCCATCTTGAAAAGGCTTGCACACAGTCATTCCTTTAATTGTTTCATTTGGAATATCTTACAATAGTTTTGATTCCAAATTTGATCAGTTCTATAAAGTCTGGCGACCAACCTTGATTTTTTGGGGGGGCCGGATTTATTTGCTTTCCAAAGAAAGAGCCCAAGCTAGTTAGCTAACTTCGGCATCAGTGTTTTCAGTAGCAAATCATTGCACACTGCTTAAATAACCCTATACAAATTAAATATGGCTTCTTTTTGACACCAGTTTTAGGGGTATAATACCTCAATAATAAACAAAAAAAACCATTTTTATATTGTATATCGCTGCGTCTACTCAAGCTAACAACATTGCGGATGGTTACGTAGCCAAGATGTCGGTCAATGGTTCCAACTTTTTGAACGTTATGATATGATATGATCTGGACTTACGCCAACATTTCCCAAATTGAGATCAATAAACTACTTCTTATCTTATTTACATGATGTAACAATTGTTGTTGTGTAGTTGTGTGTAAACCAATGGCAGGTTTGAGTTCCCAGCCTTGTGGATGGTCGTATTACTTCTGTTACGTGGCCAAGATGGCGGTTGTTTGGTTTCTAAAGTGTCCAGCGTTTCAACTTTTTGAATTGCGGATGCTTACGTAGCCAAGATGTCGGTCAATGGTTCCAGCGTTCCAACTTTTTGAAAGTTTTGGATTTCGAAGATGGCTTCATCACTGTGGACTGACGGCTTCGGCCTTTGTATATTGCACATGTGTTTTTATTTTGAAAAGTGTTCCCTTTCCCCATGTCTGTTGCTGTTGATTGTGTGCACCTGGTGCCCTGTGTTGTCTCCTCCCCCCTCACCTGTGTCTTGTTGGGTTAATTAGTGTGGGTATTTAGGCTCTGTGTTTCCTGTTTTGTTTGTGTGTGAGATCCTTGTGGCTGGTGACTGTGCTCACGTGAACAGCGAGATTGAGGCTGTGTCATGTGCCCGTGAGTAATAAATGCCCACACCGGGTTGTATTTTGGACGCTCTGCCTCTGCCTCCTTGCTTGGTCGGGCCGCTCAACGGTCAGTCTCACAGTGCATTTAGCCATACTTTGCCTTAAGGTCAAGAAGTATGCATATTGAGACGGAGCATGGGATGCTGCATTTGTGTGTGTTTGTAGTTGTTTGTAAACCAATGACAGGTTCACAGCCTCACCTGTCTGCGGCTCCACAGAGAAGTACGGCTGTCCTTGCAGAATGCTGTAAACCAGCCTGGCACTGTTCCCGTAGGTGGGGTCGTCTGCATCTGTAGCCGTCACCTGCATCACGGACGTACCTGCACACACACACACACACATGGAAAAGAGAGATGAGTCAGAGGATGTGACTCGGTTCAAGAATGGTTTGACAAAGCGTCTTGTCTCAAAGTGTCAATTCACCTCGGCATGAGGAGAGGAAATGAAATAAACATTTTCCCTCTGCTTGACACTTCAGCTGAACTGCTCCTGTGAGGCTGGTCTACTTATCCTAGTTTCACTGCTCCGGGAATTAACTTTTAAATAAAACATTGTGTGTGT